AAAAATGACTTGAACATTGTATTGCTCCGATTCTGTTACAATGAGAATAGATACATATATTATTTAACAAATATAATATATAAACAATAAAATACAAACAAAATTTGTAAATCAATATATGTTCAATGGCATTCCATCATCTAGAGTAGGAGTTGGAACTATGGCCCTGCCTGTTTTGTAAGTTTAATAGACACACAGCCACCCTACTGGTAAGCATGTGGTTAATGCTGCTCTCTCCAGACAGGCCGGTTGCTGCAGAGGTTGTGGCCCACAAAACCAAAAACATTTACTATCTGGTACTTTAGAAGAAAATTTTGCAGACATCTTATCTACAGCTGTGATTTTTAACCCTGGGCAGAGTTTGGAATCACTTGGGGCATTTTAAAAAAATACTAATACTCAACTGCCTCCGCCCTCACAGAGTGACTTAACTGGTCGGGGTGGGACTTGGGTGTGAATTGTCTTTCAAATTTTCCCAGGTGATTCTAATGTGCAGCCAGCCTGGACAGCTCTGATCTTTAGGATTAATTCCAGCCTCCAGATTCAGGAGCGTGGTTTAAAAGGCCCTTCATGAGCAGACCTGCTCTCCTGGCCCATTCTCCCATGCCCACACCCAGTTCCTCTGCTCCATTTGTACAGAATGCACCAGGTCCACGCTTGTCTGTCTTTCTGCCAGGACTGTCCCTCCTTCCTGTCTGCCTGGCAAATGCTGAATCATCTGTTGTGTGGCAGCTGAGGGAAGATCTGCCCCAGGAAACATTCCAGACCCTTCTGTAGTGTGCCACACTAAGAAGCATGCCATCGTTTTCCTGTCTCCCATGTGAGGTGGGGGCTGTGTCTCCACTAAGTGGTATCTTGGAGGAGGAGCCCATTAAACATTTGCTGAATTGAGTTAAACTTTGAACTGTAAGTTCAAAAGCCCAAAATCCAGTTCCACAAATGTATTTTGAGGTCCTCCCTATGTCAAGGAAAACAACAATTTTTAAAAGTAGATATGACTAGGCTACATGATTTCCAAATTCCCTTCTCTCGCATTAACTGAGTATCCCGAATTGTGTAGCCTAAAGTTTAACGATCTGAAACTGTAAGGGTTGAAGGAGATAAAAACAAAGAGGGCATCCATACTGAACCTGTCTTTACCCTTAGATAAAATCCTGAAGGATAAATACAGAGGAGATTTGAGAACCACTGAGGAAGATTTCATTCTCATTTTCTTTCCAGTTGGTGCTTTGTTTTGTAAACTGATTGGACTTACAATGTTGTAGCTGAAGTTATTTTGTAAGTTATGCAAATTTTCAGTTGCATTTGCTTCCTTTCTGATTATGAATTCAAATGGACAAGCTGCCCTTTTCCTGCCTCATCCTTTAATCAGTTTCTGTCAAGAACCTGAGATGCCAGCCATGGGCACCATCAAAATAAAAATACATTCTGATTGTCATGGGAGGAAGGGCTAAAATAAACCGATGATTAATCCCACCTGCCACTTCAAATCACATGGCAGTTGTTCCAAGTTTTCATTTCCAAAATATTAAAAACAACTTGTTTCAGTTCCACAGGGGTAACTGGCAGACAGGTTTTCTTTCTCACATGGTGGTGATGGTATGTGGATATTAAAATGCAGAGTTGATTAATATCTGGATTTGAAGAGAGGGAAGACCTTAGCCAATGGTCTTAAATTTTAAAATTTGGATGCACTTACACCATGATGTTGAAGGCAGCAGAAGCTTCTAGAATCCTAAACCACAGATACATTGAGAAAGTAATAATCATCTTCAAAGCTAACAGCAAAAATGTATTAAGCACCTACCAGATTGCTATATGACACTGGAGAATTTCAAAAACTAGAATCGAATTGTCCTTGCTGTGTAGCTGATGATACACACTACCCATCTGTGGCCAGAGATCTCTCTGTTGGTCAGAAGGGGACCTGGATGTGCTGTCGATGGGATGTCCAAGTTGCTGAAGCAGGCTCTTTGCAAACACCTCCTGGCCGTCCCCCTTTCTCTGGTCGGCCATTAATCTTGGACTTGTAGAGCAAGAATAGCATATGTGTTAGTCTCTTACGACTGCTCTAACAAATTACCGCAAGCTTGGGGGCTTAAAAACTACAGACATTTGTTCTCTCAGAGTTTTGGAGGCCAGAAGTCCAAAATCAGTATCACTGGGCAGAAATTAAGGTACCAGCAGGGCTGAGCGCCTTCGAGGGCCCAGTGGGGAAACCATTTTTTGCCTCTTGCAGCTTCCAGTGGCTACTGGCATTCCTTGGCTTATGGCCACACTGCTCTAACCTCTGCCTTGGTGGTACATCACCTTCTCCTCTGTGGGTGTGTCAAATCTCCCTCTGCCTCCCTCTTCCAAGGATACATGTGATTGCATTCAGATAATCCAGGATAATCTCCCCATTTCAAGATCTTTAATTTAGTCACCTCTGCAAAGATCTTGTCACCATATAAGGTAACATTCACAGGTTCAGGAATTAGAAGTAGCTATCTCTGGGGGCATGTTTCAGCCTAGTGCAGCATGGATATCTGCACTCTACCCCAGAAATTTCTGTGGAGCCCCTTGTCACCCTTTCTCTCTTCAGAGATTTCTTAGTCTCGGCTTCTTTTCTTTCCCTAGCTCCAGCGCCAGTGAGGGGCTGGCCTCGAGGGAAATGCCCTCCAGTCTGACAGCTGGATGGGAAAAGATGCCATGCTCCAAGAATGTAAATCAAGTAGACGGTCATTCTCTGCTGATGACCAGGGAACAGAGGCCAGTTGAGGCCAGTGACCAGCTCACCCACGAGGGTCTGCTTAGGAATGGCCTCCTATAAAAGGCATTAAGTCCAATGACTTCCTTGGCTTCTAGGAGAGAAGATGAATTGAGACACACAGGAGACAAGAAATAATCATTACAAGAAATAAACAATGACATCAAAAGAAGTAAGTGATCAGAGGAGGGAGCCCAGCACCCTGGCCATCAGTATGGGCTGAGGGACCTGGTGTAGGAAGTAGGGAGAAAGGACATGAAGGGTTAAGTGCATTTTATAGCAGAAGTAGTTGCTTGGAGAAGATTTCAAGGATGTTGGGAAATTCAAGAAAACAGGAAATGAAAAGCACTGCAGACACCTGGGAACCAGAGGATCCCTCCCCCAGTTCTGTCCCCAAGGAATAAAGTGCAGGAAAATGCAGACATCACGTGAAGCCAAGGAGGCCTCACTATGCTGAGCAGTTTCAATTCCATATAAACAGCTTCCGCTGAAAGGCCTCTGTGGCAGACAGCATTACAAATGGGTCTGGTTGGATATTATGAAATGGCCGTGGGTGGGCCGGGTCATAACCACCAGGGAAAAGGAGTTCCAGGATCTACCTGAGACTGCTCTGTTGCGTTCATCTCAGATAATAAATGCGTACTTTTTTATTGTGAAGGGTGTGTTTGAGAGGCCATAGCTCTCCGTATTTGATTCCTAGTGCTGTCTTAACAAATTTCCACAAACTGTGGGCCTTAACACAACAGAAATTTATTGCCCCACAGTTCTGGAGACTAGAAGTCTGAAAGTGAGGGGTCAGCTGGGTTGGTCCCTCTGGAGGCCCTGGAGGTGAATCTGTTTCGTGCTTCTGTCCTAACTTCTTGGGGTGCAGGCAAGGTTGGGCGTTACAGCGACTGGAAACACATCATTCCCATCTCTGCCTCTGTCATTATACGACAGTTCTTCCCGAGTGTTTCTGTATCTGTGCGTAAATTTCCCTCCTATAGGGACACCAGTCATGGGGTTAGGCCCCTGCCTTCTCCAGCATGACCTCATCTTAGCTTAATCACATCTGTAAACAGCCTGTTTTCAAATAGGATCACATCCACAGGTACAAGGGGGAGGGTTTCAACCTATCTTTTTGGAGGATGCAGTCCAACCCTCAATGCTTTCCGCGTATTCTAACCCAAGCCAAAGGTGCTACTGATGAGCTTCTGAGATGTGGTTGGGGAAGCTAAGTGCTGCAAAGCAGCAGCAGCCATGTGCTCAGGGAATGTAGGACAAATTTATGGAGGGATGGAATTCCAGGGGGCAGAAGTTGGAGACCATTGTGGGCTGTGGCAAAAGACCTGCAGATTTAACCCATCAGGAACCTTAATGGGACCAAAGAAAGGTTATATGGCTCCACTATCTCCCTTCAATAGAGTTTCCATGGTATATTCTGGTGATCCATACTTTAAATGATGTACATATACAGCAAATGCCTACATAAAAGGGCATAAACCATGGGCCTTAGCTTCCAGGTGTGCTTCCTCCAGAGAAAAGATTAGACAAGATAGTCAGACAAGAGACTGGAAATCATTAGAAGATATCTGATAAAGTCAAAGGGAGTAAGTCCCCTGAATAGAATGGCTGAAAGGCATGTATAGATATACAGGTATATCTCTGTTTCCCTATATATGTTACTAAGGATCACATATTCACTACATAAATTCACCATTCTGTGTTTTTTATAAGTTATTTTTTGGTATCATTAATGTACAATTACATGAGCAACATTATGGTTACTACACTCCTCCCTTTAATTATCAAGCCCCCACCACATACCCCATTACAGTCACTGTCCATCAGAGTACTAAGATGCTATAGAATCACTACTTGTCTTCTCTGAAACTCACCATTCTATATTGTGCTCCAATATTTAAAACACAGCAAGGAAAACTAACGGCAATGTACAACCAAAAGTGGGGATAGAGAAAAAGGGTACAAAGAATAACAAGAAATGTGGTCACCACGCTGTGTGGCCAAACCATTAAAAGTGAGTTTCCTGCCAATCTGTGTGAGTTTCCTGTGGCTGCTGCGACAAATTACGAAAACTTTATGGCTTAAAACAACATAAATTTAGCAAAGTCTATTTGTTAAAATTCCTCTATGTCCCATTGCTTCTGGATGGCCCAACAAACATTTGTTTGCCAAATATTTACTCTTTCATCTTCCTGAGAATTGCTTTCCTTCCCTTTGAAGTCCCAGGCCCCTACCCCCCTCTTAGTTCAGGGTGACATCTATACCTCATTCTCCCTGTCTTTGGAATCTCATGTCTGTAGATTCCCTATGCTTTTGTAATTAAATCTGATTTTCTCCTGTTAAGCTGTCTTGTGCTAATGTGATTCATAGGCCAGCTAGAAATGATTCCTCCTTAACAAACCCTACCCAAACTTAGCGGTCCTGCTTATTGTCATCTCCGTTTTGGACGGGGGATGGAGTCTCAAAATAATAATAAGCAACATTTAACATATTTAAAAAGGCATAAAGAAGAAGAGAATAAGAAATACCTATGCCCCTATTGCCCCACTCAATAAAACTTGACCCACCATTTGAAATGTGACACATCTCCAAATGCATCCCTACCCACTCCCACCCCTCATTCCAAGGTAACTTTAACTAAATGTAAATAAATCTAATAAATCGTTCTCACGCACTCCTTTCCACTGGTACTACATATGTATGTCTCCTTAAGCAATATATATTTTAAAGAACTTTCTATACTTTATATATTCTTCTTTAACTTTTTCTTTCTGTTGGTTCTCTGTAGTCCCTCCATATTGATACATGTAGTTCTGTTTCATTCCTTTTTGCTGCTGATTTTTTACTTTCCTTCTTTCTCATACTGTGGCTTATCTCAGGCAGTGATTGAAAGTGCGGGCCGGAGAATCAAATGACCGGGACTCACAGCCTCTCTCCACCACCTATTTCAGGCAAGATGCTTTACATCTCTGTGGCTCAGTTTTCTCGCTTATAAAATAGAGGTGATAATAGCGCCCTCCTTATAGGGAAGCTGTTAGGTTTAAGACAACCCCTGCACAGGGCTGGCAATGGTGCCTGCCAGGGAAAAGTGCTCTCTAAATATTAACTCTTATAATTCTTCTATCCACATGACTGCCAGGAAAACCATGCTGAGAACAAAGGTCAGAACCCCAATCTCAGCTCAGAAATGTCAGGCAAAATGTCAAAACCAGGACATCAAGTGTTTCCTGGTACGTTCGAATGAAAATCAGTTAAAACAACTACAGATCGTAATAGTCATCTATTAAATTAAGTAACAGTCATGTATCCCAGTTATGTAAGTCATTCAATTCTCTTTCGGACGATTCATCTTTGGGAAACTTTTTCAACTGAAAAAAAAAAAAGACTTTCAGTTTTCAGATCCCTACAGACGGAACATCATTGGTGCATGACTAGAGAAACTTGCAGAGCAAATAAAGCATTAACAAAACTGTGACTAATGATGACAGTATGTTCCACCATTTCATCACCAGCAATCTGAGTCAGTCATTGCATCTTCTCGATTTTCTTGGCCAGTGTTTTTGGCCCAGGGTTTGTCAGAATGTTCCCTGTCAATATCACCAAGTGTTGTAACAAAACATAATCAATTCCAAAACGGAACTTGAAGATGGCTATATTGAATTAGTTACATTAATATTTTCTCACTCTTTCACTAAATATCAGGACGTACAATCCAGTGTAGAGTCGCAGTTGCTTCAAATCACAAGCTATTTTGAATTACCCAATATTAGATCAAAACTTTTATTGATCTTTTTGATGTATATTATGCTACTGAGTGTTTTCCAATACAAAATAAACTAGTCACGTGTTCAGAATGTAAATGAAAATTGCTATAATAGTTTCTCTGGCTTTGGAAAGGGTGTGTACATTTTTCCTCATTAGTGGTTTCCATCAGCACTCCCAGAGGGGTTACCATTGAAAATGATGACTTCTGCCTCTTTCTGGCAGGAGAGCATGTTGTCCCTTTAGTTGTGAGAATAATTTGGGGACACTAACAAAAAATAAATTACGGTGGCCTGAAGTCCATCCATAATTTACTTGTTCCATTTTTTGCTAGTTTGGCTATAATCGAACTTGTTTCAGCTTGAATGAGTGCATTTTCCAACACTCCTCAGAATACACTGTCAAGTACACTGTGGGCAAGACATGTTCCCTGAAGAAAGCCATTCATTTTCAAAAGCAGACCAAGTGACTGGAAAAAGCAAGCAAGCCGGCTAACTCATACAACAATGAAACGTTATTAACTTCAATAACAGTAAACAGCATCAGACAATTAATAAACAATTCTCATCTTATTAGGAGGCTGGTGTACATGAGACTCTTTCTGGCTAGAATTGAATATCACTTCCTCTATTGCTGTCTGCCAGAAAATTCCTCCTCCCTCCTGGATTCCGGCAGCGATTTGTAAGTTGAGACTCATCTTGTCTCCCTATTTGGTTCTGGGTTTTAAATTGTCATGAGTGTCTCTAGAATGGTTCCAGCAAGAGCCTCAGCCTGCCCTGTGTTCACTTACCCAACAGGCCAAGAAAACTACTTACTTCTTTGAGCATATTCTTTGGGCTCCCCTGAATCCAGATCAGAAAGGAAGCCCTCAGGGTCTTGCATGCACTTGAGAGAATGCTGCTTGCTAGAAGAACAAAAGGTAATTAGAATTGAAAATACAGCAGTCAAAATAATAAAGTCAGGACCGTCATTGTCCCTTAATCCGTCAGGATAAAACTCCCCTCTTAAATCAAGAGCCTTGTATTTATGAAACACTAGTCCAATATGTTGGGGGAAATGTGACATGGCTCACTCTTTGACATGCAGAGACAAGCTGTCTCCTCAGTCACCTGCAAAGCGGCCAAGATAAGCAACCATGGAAACGGATTTATATACAACTTGTTATTGTTCAGGAAAATCGCGCTGTGGATGTGGGGGACGCTGACCACCTGGCTTCCTTTAGTCACGCAGATTAACATTTCCAGCAAACAGGGATACAGCTAGATTTTTCACTAGTTAAATGGTCTTACATATATCTCTAGGCTTAAAGTGGCAATATTTGGTTTTCCCCAGGAATGATGAATGAAGCCAACCTATAAAACATTCAGATAAATGATAAGCAAAGAAGGATTTCTCCCTGATCATCTGGATATTTCAGGTTTCAGGCATCTGTTAATGATTTTGCCGGACTGGAAAGGCCAGAGGTGTGGGAGGGATGAACTCCCTCAGGGAAAACAGACAGTATTGCAACAGGACAAATAAGCATATTCGTCCTCACATGGGGGCTTAGGACACACATTCTAGGAAGGAGATGAAGCTTACGAAAGTCCATGGAAGCAGTGTTCCCCTACTTTAAGGGAACATAAAATGTGTGGATCTGGATTTTTCATGGTGTAAACATTCTTTTTCCAGAAAGCCTTTCTTTAAATAGTAACGTCCCTGAGCACATTTAAAATGTGATGCAAATCTTGTTTACCCTGCAGGAACACAGCTGCCCCTGTGGGTGGCCGTGACTCAGTTGCACATCCTGCTGTTCACGGGCTTTACAGCAGCCTCTAGCATCCCAAACCCCTACCCTCTGTCTGAATCTGTGGGGGCTGCCATAACAAAATACAACAGACTGGGAGGCTTATAAACAGCAGAAAATTATTTCTCACAGTTCCAGAGGCTGGGAAGTCCAAGAACAAGGAGACCGCATGGTTGGGTTCTGGCAAAGGCCCTTCAGCGACTTCTCCCTCTGTCCTCATGGGGTGGAAGGGGCAGGGAGCTCCCCGGTATCTCTCCTATCAGAGCTCCCATCCCATTCCTGAGGGCTCCACCCTCAGGACCTAATCCTCCTCAAAAAGCCCACCTCCAAATACCATCATCCTTCCGGGTAGTATTTCACATAGGATTTGGGGGTGGGGATTCATGAGCATTCAGACCAGAGAACCCTTCCTCACACACCCTCTGCTGTTTCTCACCTCTGTTGCTTTGTTTGCAAGGCTCCTCTGTCTCCAGTGGCCTTCTCCCAGCTCCTCCTCCTGCGTGTTACTAGCCTACTCAATTTACACTACAAAGTAGGTGTTGGCTCTTCCAGGAAGCCCTCCTGGGCTTCTCCTTGAGTCGGATGGATGCCTGTTTCCTGTGGTCCCTAATTGCCTTGCATACTCTCTTTACCTCTGTAGGGGAGCTGCAAAATCTGCCACCCCAAAATGTGTCTCATCAGCATGTGGATTATTCTAGTGTAAGTCCGGGGAAAGGAAATCCCAGGACAAAATACCTCTAAAAACCAAAATCAGTCAAAGGGAGAAATAAAAGTTTAAAACCCGTTTATTGCTTACAAACTGCAGTCCAGCGCCGTCTCTCCTGCCCCTGAAGGAGCAAGCAAGCAAACAAGCCAGCCCCTCCTCTTAACCTCTCAGGTTCAGACACACCCTCGGTTGCCCAAGTAATTACCCACTGACGTGGAGATGAACTTCTCTCCACCCCTGAGGATATGCAAATCCACTAAGGCCAGGCGAGGTACTTTGGAATGTTACGATTTTACACACACCTAAACACATTATTTTTATGAAACAGAAGGCTCAGGAAGAACCTTTGACCTTCCCTCTACCTGCCTAGAAGGATTTAGGCAGAGGACCTGCGGCAAGAAGGAGCGATCACCATAGACGCCCCGTAATATAGTGTGCTCTAGGGTAGACAGGGAGGAACTTAGAAATCTGTTGAAATTCCTCTCTATGTCCCACTGTTTCTTTATGGCCCAGCAAACATTAGTTTCCCCAACATTTCCTCTTTTTCAAGTTCCTGTGAATTGCCTTCCTTCCCTTTTGAAGTCCCAGACCATGATCCCCTTCTCCTTCGCTCTGAATGGTGTGTAAGCCGGCAGGGCCTGCCTGCCTGTGGGCCTCGTACCCACATGGAATTAAATTTGATTCTTCTCCTGTTACTCTGTCTCATGTCAATTTAATTCTGAGACCTGCCAAAGGAACCTTGAAGGGTGGAGGAAAGTTCTTCCTCCTAAACATCTGCTCACAACAAAGTCCTGCATTTCTGAGTGTCTCCTACAGCCTGAGGGCAGGCACTGTGCCCTTTCATACGAGCTGGGAGCCAAGCCCGACCGGTCCTATGTGACTCAGGGCACACTCCCTGCCTCCGTGACTACTTCATCTGGAAAATCAGGATAGAAGTTGTCTTTACACACATGGCAGATAATAATATACATACCAGACAATCCAGATAGTGAATCTACAAGGGGGGCCTTGCAGCATCTGAGCTGTAGCAATCCCTTAATAAACAGTAGCTATTATAGTGATTTATTATTATTTGTCATTGCTATTGGCTTAAAGAAAAAAGATTCAGGCACATAAGCCGAAATTAAAGAGATTAATTATTTCATGGTGAATCATTCCTTGAAAGAACAGATCCTTAGATCCAAGTTACAGAGGAATAGCTGTGAAACAATAAAAAGGAACTTTCTAGTAGTCAAAACTAGCCAAGGAGGAACTGGACTCTTTGAAATGATAGAGAGGTCTCCAGTCTTGGAGGAATTCAAGTATTGGTTGAACACTGATGAGGGAATTAAAGAACAGATTCAGCATCAAATGGAACTTACACCAACTGCCTTTCCAGTCTTCTCTGACCTTGAAACTCTCTGCGTCTACCTTCAGAATCATTTTCTGCCATTAACGCATTGGTTGTTATTACACACCTTGGAAGATGTTTTCAAATTGAGGTAGAAATTGCGACTTTAATGCAAAAAAAAAAAAAGGAAGATAATATCCAACCAGAAACTGTATAGAAAAAGTGGTAACTTGTACTTTAAAAGGGACCTACTCTGGCATCAGAAACCAGGGTGGAAGCCATGGCTCTGTCGGAAGGGGGTTCAATTTTCCTGTCTGTAAAGTCTTAAAATAAGCCTATCCCACAGTTGTTTCCTAGTATTAAACTAGAGCTCTTGACCCATAAATATTAGTTAGCATTCTAGCTCTCAATTCCAAATGTATCTCATATGCTTACATTTCTACATTAAAAAATGTGTGTGTGTGTGTGTGTGTGTGTGTGTGTGTGTGTGCATGGTAGGGGGTAATTTGAATTTTTAAGAATGACTGAACAGAAAAATCTCTGAAACCACAATTTCATTCCAATTCAGTTGTTGATGTTGTATATATGGAAAATAAGGACGTGATTCATCTTACTACCCTGATGGACAGTGACTGCAATGGGGAATGTGTGTCAGGGGACTTGATAATATGGGTGAATGTAGTAACCCCAATAGTGCTCATGTGAAACCTTCATAAGATTATATATCAATGATACCTTAATAAAAAAAAAGTATTCATTCTAGAAAATGCTAGAAAAGAAAAGAAGGTGCTATTGCTTTTAGAATGCTCTTTTATCTACTGGGGGAAAAAAATACAATGAGGAGAACACCCACCCACATTGTAACCATCAATAATAAAAACCACTAAAATCAATTTAAAATACAACCTGAGTAAAAAAAAAAAAAAAAAAGAGTCTTCCTTCTGGGAAATTAACAACTCAGCACCTAATTAATGTTTGTCCCAACCCCTAAAAAATAAAATTATGACTAATTGAGATTCAAAGAGACTTGGTTGTTTTACAAAGACACTTCAGGCAGATGTTTTATGCAAGGCAATGTGCTGGGCATAAAATAGGACGTGAAAGTGAATAATGCCTTCCTTTCCTGCAAGCAGGTCTTTATTGTTTCCTGAGGCAGCAGCAATCAGCTGATGTTATTAATGCCACAGTCACTTTATTCAAGCAACTCGCTCTCTGGAAAAGGAAGGAACATTAGGCCTCTCATCATTTGGCAACTGGTTTGCGAAAACAAGGATTTGTCTTTGCTTGACAAAAATAAGGATCAACCTGATAAGGAAAACATAACTAATAACTGCTGCTCACAGGCTGCAAAATGAAAAATGCCTCTTGCGATGAGAAAAGCAATGGCAACTACAGATCAGAAAGCAGGTAGTTCATGGAAAAGCTTAGGATTTTTATCCAGAGGATGGCTGACAGTTAACAAATAAGCATATAGTATCAGGGGTGGTAAGTGGTAAGGAGCCAAATAATGCCGGGACGGGAATGGGAGAGGGGTGAAGTGGGCATGTGCTGTTGGCAGGGCAGGCACATTTTTACAGGGTGACGGGGAAAGGCTCTCTGAGCAGGGGACTTCTGAGCCAGCCTAAACAACAAGCAGCAGCCTGTGCAGGACTGACAACTGAGGGAAGGGCATTCCAGGCAGAGGGAACAGCAAGTGCCAGGTCCTTAACACAGGGAACAGTGTGTTACAGGAACAACCAGGAGGGAGTGAGGAGGGGTGGGGGGACGAAGGCATATGCTTCTGTTTATCTCGATAAGTCTCTTCTGAAATAGCTAATACTGTCCTGCTGCTTGGATGGTATCTAATTCAGAGGGAAGCGAGACTCTAAGTTTTGAAATGTCCCATCACGATGTCGGCACTCCCTGGGTCCAAGATGGTTCAGGAACTCCTTGAAGGCACACTGATTCCCCAGTGGACAGAGATGCTAAGCAATGTCCACTTTTTTCCTCCCAGATCTTGGTCTTTCTGTTTCCCTGACCAACAAGTGCAATTCACAAGGTAACTCTCCATCTGCAATCATCCCAACCATCACCACTGGAATGAGTAAATTTGAATTGTACCTGTTTCTTTGTATCACTGTCTTCCAGAGTAAGAGGCAAGATCCAGCTCTTTTTGAGATTCATACAGCAGCAGACTCCCCAAACCTGGAAGATGCTGAACTGACAAAATCAAGATAAATGAAGGATACTTAGACACGTGCAACTCTGCTTTGTCCTCTTTCCACATCGCACCATCCTCTCTATGTCTTCCTTGTTCTTTTTCAAAAAATAATGTTTATTCTCCAGAAATAACCAATTCAATTAAACTTGATTTGACCTAAACATCAGAAATTACTCTTGGGCTAAAGCCATACTTGCTGGAGCTGAGCTGCCAAGTGTGACATGGTGGACTCTAATTTTACAGTTCTCTTAGTTTAAAAATACAGGCTTGCCAAGTAGTGTGTCTAGAAACAGACCTGCCAGGGTAGTATAATTTACAGTTAGAAGAAAAACTTGAGGAAAAGCAGCTTTCAATAAAATAGCAAAGCAAATTGAATAGTCAGTTCCCTTAAATACTGTGAAACATTATAAATAGTGCTGTTTTATGAGTCAGAACTAACCTCATAAATTGAATTTGGAAACCAGCAAAGAATATTTTCTGGCAAATGTTATCCTGTTTCCTTAAGTAAAAATAACCACTAGGGAGAAGGTATAATTGCAGGATAAACCTGGAGATAATTAGAAAGAAAATGTAAGTGAGGAATCTAAAGCACCCTGTTCCAGGGCTCCAGCTCCATCCGCCCCTGCTCAGCAGGCAGAGTGGGACAGGCTCCCCACCATTGCTAAGTCCTCAGGTGCCTCAGGAACACTTGTTCCAGCCTGCTTCTGTGCATAGTCTCTTCATACTTTCTTAAAACACTTTCTAGTGGGCTATTTGTGTCCTGTTAAGTCCCTAATTCAGACAGGATCTAATGCTGGGCACATGCAGGTTTACCTTTCCAATAAAGGCAGCAAATACAAATGAGAAAACTCCCAGAAAAACACAGACTAAGATGATGAAAGTTTTATCAACCAGTGTATTGAGTCCTCACTAAAATGTTCACCAAAATCTACTGGGACAGCAGGAAGGGGGAAATGGATGGAAAAGAGACTTCTCTTTTACAGGGAAGACTGCAGTAGCCAACTCTCAAATTCAGCCTCATACCAAACCATGTGGACCAAGGCTGGCCTATTTAGGATAAGTGGTTTGGGGATAATGGAGACTAAAGGATTACAATTTGCTAGTCCAGAAGCATAGCAGGGAGAGAAGCTCTTTACTGAGACATAAATTCACATTGTCATATCCCAAGATTTACAGTGAACCTTGTAGGGATGTGAAGTTCATAATTTCAAAAGGAAACCCTTAAGTAATGAGTAGGTTCAAGGATCTATTTGAGCAAAGAGTAAATTGTGTAAGAGTAGGAGCCAAGTTTTCAGGCAACTGTATCTAGGTTCCATACCTAGATGATGTGCGCTTAACACAGAGAGGTGCAATCTGGGACCCTTACCGCATCTGATTCACAAGTCTGTGTGCTTGTGCGTTTCCCCGTAACTAGCTCTCATCTTGATTCTGTAACTAAATGGCATAAACAGGATTCCACATTTGGCAGACTCCTCTTTCTTTTCAGAGCATTCTTTGGGATAGGTGAATGGTTCCTTTAAGTCATGTTTTATTTTACGAAGTTCTTCACATTTTCCTTCTTTCCCCTTTCAAATAGGCATTAAAAAAAAACCACACACACATCCCAGGGATGCAAGGATGGTACAACATTCGAAAATCCATCATCATCCACCACATAAACAAAAAGGAAGACAAAAACCACATGATCATCTCCATAGATGCTGAAAAAGCATTTGACAAAATTCAACATCCATTCATGATAAAAAACTCTCAGCAAAATGGGAATAGAGGGCAAGTACCTCAACATAATAAAGGCCATATATGATAAACCCACAGCCAGCATTATACTGAACAGCGAGAAGCTGAAAGCTTTTCCTCTGAGATC